AAAAAAGAAATAAAACAACACACAAGTTTAGAAAGTTTGAAATATGACAGATATCTAATAAGTAAAACAGAGCTGGGTATGGTGGCTCACATCTGTAATTCCAGCACTTTGGGAGGCAGAAACAGGAGGATCACTTAAAGCCTAGAGTCTGAGACCAGCCTGAGTAACAGAATCAGGCCTTGTCTTTAAAACAAACAAGTAAATAAATAAATGAAGCAGCACTGCTCAGTTACTATTAATAGCAGTAACACTACTACCTCATGAGTAATTTTTAGAAAAACAATATCCAAAATAATTTTCCATGCAGGTGCAATTTTTAAATTACTTAAGGACTGATGAATAAATATTGTGAAAATTACTAGAGTCATGTTAGTTTAGGCTTTTTTCACTGTGGATAACATTGAAAAGTGAGAGTTAATGAAACTACCTCAATTTAATAAAACCGTCAAACAGAAAGAGAGTCAACTGAAGGACAAGAAGGAAATACTACTTACACAGTCAAATTAAGAAAAAAAAATTAAAGTTTATTATGCCTTAGTTCTCTACGTAGATTCATAGGAAAAACTTTATTATGCCGAAGAACTATGTGAGAAACATAAAATTCTCTTTTCAGTAATGCCCATGCCAGACTTTTGTGGCTTGCTTTTATGGCATTCTCAAATAGGTTAATAAAAAGCTATTTACAGATTTTGCTATCTTTCTGAAATTTTGCTTCATATTCTCCTCCATGTTATAAAGACCTCCTCACCTTTCAGGCAAATCATTCTGAGTGGTGAATCCATCTTAAGCACACTAGCTATAAGAAAAGACCCATGGTAGTTTCTGTCTTTGTACTAGAACTACAGCTATCATATTCAGGACAATTGCTGATCCATCCAGACAAATGAGTCCAAGTCTAGGTTGAAAAGAATTTGCTACCGCCCTTTTGTTTTCTTTTCAGACAGAGTTGCTCTGTCGTCCACATTGGAGTGCAGTGGTGCAATCTGGCTCACTGCAATATCCACCTCTCAGGTTGAAGAGATTCTCATGCCTCAGCCTCCCAAGTAGCTGGGATTACAGGCACGTGCCACCATGCCCAGCTAATTTCTGTATTTTTAGTGGAGATGGGGTTTCACCATGTTGCCAGGTTGGTCGATCTGCCCACTTTGGCCTCCCAAAATGCTGAGATTATAGGTGTGAGCCAACACAACCAGCCACTACCTTATTTTTTTTTTAAACAAATACTATGTTTTCTTATAGAAAACTAAAGATGTTTCCAGAAAACTAATAATTTACACATCATTTTTAGCTCTCACATGTTAAAGCAATAGATGAAAACTTGACTGGGTGCAGTGGCTTAGTTCCTATAATCCTACCACTTTGGGAAGCCAAGGCAGGAGGACCGCTTGAGGCCAGGAGTTCAAAACCAGCCTAGTCAACATAGCAAGACCCTATCCCTACAAAAGAAAAATTTAAAAATTAGCTG